AACCTGTCATTTAAAGCTATGGTTTTAACAGCACTTCTTTATATACGTGATATTCGTTGCATTTCTAAGTTTTTAACCTTGAAAGTCCCCTTTTTTTTTAGAGGGGCTTTCCCCCCAATTCCTAGTGTTGACACGTATCTTACACATGTGATCTTGATGGAAATGTCTGGTCCTCTTTTCTCACAAACACACACACACACACACACACACACACACACACACACACATCTCTATTTGCACTTCCTGACTTTGAGAGCTGTCAGCAGAGCAGCAGTGGGCTGTTTCAGGACTCTAGACAGTTCCTCCAGAGACATGCAGAGACTCTCACCTCACCCCCAAGTCTGACGGGGGACACCAAGTCCGAGTCATACACCGAGATTTGCCACTTGCAGAGAGAGTGTGTGTGTGTGTGTGTGTGTGTGTGTGTGTGTGTGTGTGTGTGTGTGTGTGTGTCCACTCACTCACCCAGCCCTTCCCCCCCCCACACAGACACATATCATCCACCCAGAGCCATTCTATCTGTATGGAAATTTGGGCTCCACAGCTGGAATCCCACAAAGCACTGTCATCTACTAATAGTTATTATCTCTTTGGCCTGCTCCCTCACAAAAAGCCTGCAATACAAACACATCACATCTTTATGGTAATGCCCTGCAATACAGCCCCGAGCTATGGTGCATAGACCTTTGTTATCATTACGATAATTCCCATTCTCACTTGACTCCTCATTACACCATGGAACTGCTCGGCGTTGGATAAAGACAAATTCTTGTATCTTTCTTTATTACTCTGTTAGTACACTAAACTTAAACTCCCTAAATACTGTGTAATGAGAATTATGCATAAGCAGTTGTCAGTATAGAGGCCTGTGTGCTTTAACACATTTTATTGACGCTAGGGCTAACTAATAACTCAATATATCATCAAATTCCGTCCGTTATGACATATAGTATGATTAGTATATGATTTTGTCTTTTTAATAAATAAAGAAATCTATTCCCCAATTATTTAAAAAAAAAAAAAAAGTTGTCATGCACATTATGGGCAGATTTCATTTCAACTTTTGAATTTATGGACAAAGACGGATCATAGAATCTTGCAAAAATAAGATAGAGGTTTTTATTTAAAATATCATGATAAAAAACGTATTATTGTGATTGATTTGCATTTACAACTTAGCCACAAAAAAGGACTAAAAATAGGCCTGGAACATTGTAAACACTTATATATTTTAGGGCTCGAGGGAAATTGTCTAGAAAGGATCCTTTGCATTGCAATGCACATTTATGTAAAACTATATTGATTTCATATGTGCATATTATAAATGAGCACACTTTTGCTTATTTTAAATATAGATTTCTTATCTAACAACTAAACTTCTCACTTTTATTGTGTAAAGTAACATTGAATCATCCTAATATTCTTTGCTGATGGGTATAGAGTCCATAGCAATAAGAGACTGAATTTGCCAGATGTTTTTTCTCCAAATCCTTGGGAGAGCAGATGATTTTACAGAAGTGTGTCATCTGCCAACATGAGCTTTGGGTCAGCTCTCTATAGGAAGATGCAAAGTGCAAAGGGACATGGACCCATACATGGACCTCGCCATAGCTGCTTGTGTCCTTGCACCTCTCCATGAATGCCCACACAAGGCCTCTGGATCGCACAAAAAAAAGTAATTGCAAAGTGATTGGCACAGCTTGTCCCGTGCAGCCTGTGTCCCACACTTGAAGGCTCTCCTCAGAGCACCCTCATTGTCACACAGCCTTTTAGCACCTTTGTTCCTGCCTTCCCTTAGGACCTCACAGCTCACCATTGGCAGATGAGTCCCTGCCTGTGACAAAAGGGTCCCTGCGCTCAGCCTCATTTGATGCAGTGAACCCCCCACCCCTCAATACACACACACAAACAGACGCACGCACATATTGCACACCACCTCCTCCTGTAAGAAAAACTGTTCCGTTTAGTGGTGGAGGATGTGTGGGTCAGGACCCAGGGGTGGGCTTTTAGGAGACAAGTAAACATCAGAGCAGGAGAGGAGTGATGTCTTGTTTACACATTAGTGACCATTTAGCAAGTCTCACTGGTTTCTCTGAGGCTCTCAAACAGCTGATCTTTTTTTTAAGTCTGTCTCAAAACCCCATCAGGAACAACCCAAACTGTTCTTACTCAGGATCTGTGGAACTGCAACTGACACTTAATTATTTTTTTTTATGTAGCTATGCATCTTAAAGTCTACTAATGAATGATTGTGATTTACTTGCATTAAGCATAGCAGAAAAATCCAGAATAATTGGCCAATAACACTTTTTGTCCATTTTTTTGTTTTTGTCAAACAGTCTCTCTGTATCATGGTATGCTACACTTGTGTTGTTCATTTTTTGTGATACCCAATCAAGCAAACACACACACACACACACACACACACACACACACACAGAAATACACACGTAAGCTGCATCCTCTAATACCGTCTAATGAGGTGATGACCAACCACTTGTTATAATTGCTTCAGTCTCCTTTTAATTTTCAAGCTTATTAATCATATGTAGAGTTATTTAAGAATGCATAAATTAATCTTAGATTAAAAAGCCTATCAAAGCCTCAAAACAATTAAAGAGTAAGGTAAGATTTCCCCCGGGCTGGCACTTTTATTTTAATAGAGTGTTCAGGTGATTATCATACTATGATACAGCACTGTGATTAATGCAGACACACTTTTAAATGAGCTCTTCTCTCTGCACAAAAAAGGTAAAAGAAACCTGATAATGACCTCACTGACTTTTTGGCTACTTTTCTCATTTTTCTTGCCTGGAGGTTTGCACAGATCCCAGAGAGGGAGGGCAAGGATGGTAGAAAATATGCACTTAATAAATGTCTTAATGTTTTTAAGGAGTTTTTTCTCTGGCTCTTTAACAGTATTTTTATCTGATCTATTTGTGAGGTTTTCACTGTCAATAAGGCTTAAGATGTATTTGTTTGTTTGTACAAATCATTTTAATTAAGATGTTTATTTAGATGACAAGCAAGGTTTAACAGTCCATACCAGTTCAGTTGTGGAGAGATGCCTCGATGGATCCCGTCTGTTTACTAATGTGACTCTCAACCAAAATGCATTTTTATCTTACATTTGTTAATTTTAGTGCATGTTTTTGACATAAATCTAAGTTATAATCGGCTGCTTTCTCAAACAAAAAATGTAAGACGAAATCATTTTTACTGGGTCACTCTTGGGTTTCCTATTTTCACCTTCAAACAAGATTTGGTAAAAACAAAATGAATGATGTCACTTTTTTTTGTTAAATTTTGATTTGCATTTTGTGAAACGCGTAGGCCGATACGATTATTGTTTTAATAGGTTATTTTTCTATTTTTATTTCAGATATTATTATTGTCAATACGAAATTACTCGCTAAACGCTTCCTATTTAAATTGTTAATGCCTTAAACGATTATGTACAGTCATTACAGCTGTACAGCTCAGTCCTTATAGGGTCAACAGGACCAACAGGAACGAGTCCTGTTACTTTCATCAATATTACATCAGCAGCCCGCGCCGTGCGTGCTGTCAGAAAAGACAAACACAAAGCTTAACTGACTTTATAAAAAAAAAAAAAAACTTAAATGGCCATCGTATGGTGAGAGCCTGCACGCATTGTTGCCCTGTCTAATCCTTTTTCTTTTTTCAACTTGAAAAAAAAAACCACACTATAGGCGAAATCACAGAGAGTGACCTTTGGAGCAGCTGGTTGTTGTCAAAACGCGTGTTGGCGAGCTCGAGCTTGTAAAAGATGAATCCGTGGGAACCCGCACGTGTTGAAGGCCTGCACGCGCTATTCATCAGCGGGCCTTGACTCCACGCACACGACAATACATCGCTGCATGGGTCCCTGCTGTTTGAGCCGAATCCCACTGCAGCCTCCTCCACGCATAATGTCAATAACTGTGTTTTTTTTTTTTTATTTGAAGGAGAGTAAAAAGAATTCATTAAATAATCAACACAATAGGCTATAGTAGTAGGCTAATACAATGTGAATTCATTTTTTTTTTTTTTAAATATAGGCTAATTTATTTTAAACCTATAGGTTTTATTTAACATGACTTTAAGTTTGTATTTTATTTCATAATTTCACCGCCCTATAGATAAAACCTTGTGATTTTTTCTGGACTTATGGCTCTTACTGGACCGAACACTAATACCATGTTCAATGGTCATGAATCCATGTTTAATGCAGACTGCCTGTGTGATTGGAAGTGCCTCGCCATAAGTTTTGCCGTCACTAAATTGCTGCCGGTGTCGTAAGGGAGGGGGCTGCACTACAATATGCTGTCATGTGGACTGTGCTGCTGCTGCTGCTACAACACAAACCTTTCGCGCACACCGAAAGAGGAGGTTGCACGGACAGCTGCGTCCCACTCCTGACGCAAACATCTTTACATCTACCAGCACAGAGCAGACTTCTTATCGCTCCCTCTTTCACCTGATCACAGCTTTGTCATTCACGACGGAGGGGAGCTGCGCGGACATTAGAGGTGAGTTTAGAAACTGAATTTGACAGCGTGTTTTTTTTAGACTCAGGCATTTCTAGCCATCGATTTAAAAAAAATCTACTCAAATTTCATTTACATTATTTATGATTGTAACCTGCGCGCAGACAGTTAAAAGCTGATTTTGGAGCCAAAAAATATATATTTTGCAGAGTTCGAAGTGCAAGAGATTGCACCTATATTTTTTCCCATTTGCCACAATTATAATGTATAGGTCTCTGCTTTTATTCTGAAGGGTAAGTCTCCAATAATTAAAATTCGGGTTAACGAAACTTTATTTGAACAAAGGCCTTTAGCAGTCTGTTGTCTGGGTTAGGCAGAGCAGATTGACCTATTAAATATGGGATTAATAAGCGTGTTTTAAAGCTGCTTGAGGTTGTCATTTCTTCAAAAAATGAAGAAAACAAAATCTCACATATTTATGCCTAACGTCTTTGCAGATTCCAGGCCTTTTAGTATGGACTCCATACCTGCGGGACGAGACTCTAGCTCCTCTCCAAGCTCTAAACAGGAACTTTCCTACCCGAGCACCAAGAACCTGAAGCCCAACCAGGTGGGGGAAACGGTGCTGTATGGAATACCCATTGTGTCTTTGGTGATAGACGGCATGGAGAGACTTTGCCTTGCACAAATATCGAACACCTTGCTGAAGAATTACAGCTACAACGAGATCCATAACCGGCGCGTGGCGCTTGGGATCACCTGCGTACAATGCACCCCTGTCCAGCTGGAGATCCTTCGGAGAGCCGGGGCCATGCCCATCTCCTCCCGACGCTGCGGGATGATCACAAAGCGCGAGGCAGAGAGACTCTGTAAGTCATTTCTTGGAGCTCATGCACCTCCGAAACTTCCAGAGAATTTTGCCTTTGACGTGTCCCACGAATGCGCATGGGGCAGTCGAGGCAACTTCATCCCGGCCAGGTACAACAGCTCCAGGGCCAAGTGCATCAAGTGTTCCTACTGCAACATGTATTTTTCTCCAAACAAATTCATTTTTCATTCGCATCGCACGCCAGAATCCAAGTACACGCAGCCAGATGCAGCTAACTTTAATTCTTGGAGGCGGCATCTGAAATTGTCAGATAAAGGCAGCTCCACTGATATTTTACACGCGTGGGAGGATGTTAAGGCCATGTTCAATGGGGGCAGCCGGAAGAGGACGCTGCCAGGCAGTGGGTCAGGCTCCGGCTCTTCATTAAAACCACAAGGACCCTGCCGTCCCAGAGATTCAACCGAGATCCCCGCAAAGATCCTGAGCTGCGAGGACACCCGGGGCAGCATGCCGAGCGCGCGCAGCTACCCGGTCATCCCTGTGCCCAGCAAGGGCTTCGGGATGCTGCAAAAGATCCCTCCGCCGCTCTTCCCTCATCCTTATGGGTTTCCAGCGTTCGGCCTTTGCCAGAAGAAAGACGATGGCTTGCTGGGAGAGCAGAGCAAAGCGGGTCTGCCGGGTGTGCTGTGGCCTGGTACCAAGGACAGCGCATATCACTCCTTCCCCGTGTTCTGGCCCGCGGCAGGCGCCCTGCCCATTCCTCCTTACCCCCAGACCCAGCACAAACCCCCACCTGAGCTGCTGTGCCCCCCCAGACAGACTGATATGGACATGTCCGAGCACAGCGACCGGAGCACCAACACCTCCAAGGACAGCATGGTGGAGAACGAGCGCTGCTCCAGCACTCAGTCCACGCGGAATGAAGACGACAAGTCCGGGGACGAGGCGAGGCCGCTGGAGGGGATAGTGACCCTCGCGCCCCGGAAGGTCAGCTACGTTTCAGCGTTCAGGCCCGTGATTAAAGACGCGGACTGTATTGCTAAACTGTACGGAAACAGAAGCGCTTATATCGGCTCTCGCACTGGCTATTTATCCCCTGATTTCTTAAGCGAGAGCTCGAGCTACCGGTCCATGTCCCCGTGTGTGGACAGTGAAGGGGAGCCGGACGTGGACGTGGAGACGAACAAAACGGCAGAGGAGGACGACGAGGAGGACGAGGACTCCCGGTCTCTGTCCTCGGTGTGTCCGCGGACTCCTACCGGCCCGGCTCGCAGCGTTTCCCCAAACATCTCCGAGTCCACGGCCCTGCGCGAGAGCACAGTAGTGGAGTCCCCAAAAATGCACGTGCACGTGGGCCAGTCCTCCGACGGAGAGATGCACAGCAAGCAGCTGACAGAGAGACACATAGCTGCGACTTTCCCTGAAGTGAGTGACTATAGACTGAAAAACCATGCTTATGATACAGTTATGTTTCTATAGTGTTTCATGTGGTTTTCTGTGCTGTGCTTGTGTGTACTTTTAAAGTGTGTTATTCATTATTTTATATCAGTGTAACTGCAACTGCAAATAGCATGTCCAAATGCATACATATCTAATTTAAATAAAAACATTAAAACTTCAATTTAGAGCTTTAATTAATAATTTTGTTTGTATACATTGTAATTATTCTACAGAGTTAGGCTACTTGATATTTTAAGAGTTAAGAAAGTTGGCGATTTTTTGTTCTTCAGGTGTTCTCACCGGAGAGAGCTGAGCTGCAACAACGGAGCAGTCCTTATCAGTTCAGACCTGCAAATTACCACACTGGAGCACTTACAACACATGGTTAGACTTTTTTTTTTTTTTTTTTTGCTAATAGTTTTTTTTTTTTTGTAATTTAAAAAAAAAATCAGTGATAAAAAAATCAAAACTTGGGGAGAAAAACATCCATTTATTTTCCCTTAAGATGAGAGCTCGAGCAAAGAAGAGCCGTCTTCCACAGTGGAGGAGATCGAAACCAAATCTTATAATGAACAAAGCAGCGAGGAGAGCCAGCGAGAGCCGGAGGAGGATGGTGAGTTACAATAAAAAAAATAAAAAAATAAAAAATAATAATAATAATAGCTCCGCTTTTAGAGATAAATCAGGGTTCTACTTTCCATTTGCAAAAAAAGAGCAAATGTCATTTATTTTCTTTGTGTTCAGGCGAAGACGCGCCAGACAGAGCTCGGCCAGCACAAAGAGCCATGGAAGGTATTGCAAAAGGTAAGACAGTAGAAGTTCATTCAAACTAGGCTCTTAAACGTATTATCCTTATCATTATTATTATTTATTCATGAAACTCAAATATAAAATGACCTCTTATTTTCTTTGTTTTCTACTTAAATTAAACTAAATGAGACAATGTCTTTACTTTCTCCCACTTCTGTTTTGCCAACATGGAATTAAGCAATGTTTTTTATTTTTAACACACACACAATTTGTTTTGTGTTTTTTTAGTGCAGGCCACTCTATTCTTCTTTTTTTAAAACTGCAGGCCCACAAAGACCTGCTCTGAATTGTTAATGATGATGATGTTCATGTCCTCCTCTCTGTCCTTAAAAATAGCAAAGTGTCCTAGAAGGATGTTCTTATAATAATGTGAGCATGTCCCACTCAAACCTCCTCATCTTTCTCTGTCTGCTTTTAGCGGAACTACAGAAGCAGCTGTTGGAGCAAGTTGAGCTGAGGAAAAAGCTGGAGCGTGAATTTCAGCACCTGAAAGGTAAGCTTGATTCTGCAACAGTTGAAGTTTTTGATCGGTCAAGTAGAAACTTAGACATCTATTGTTCATGTTAAATGTTCTTCTTCTGTCACGTTTGTGATTATGGCCTTTTTCTTGCTATGATCAAATCCATCACAAAAATCCTTCATAGCTTGGTCATGCGCTCACCTGGAAGAGGAGTTTGTAAAACTGCTCATTTGAGAGGATGGTTATTTTAAACCTTCTGTCCAAAAAAGGGAAAAATGAATTTGCCAAAACAGAACACATGCTGTGAGGAAGACACTCCTTCATTTAAAACTGTACCCAAGGCCAGTTCAGTCCACTGCTAATATGGTTTTACTCTCAGGTGGAATAAGGACTAAAAAATATAGTTCTGACTCCTAAAAACCTTTAATTTTTCTATAAAATCCTTTAAACTGTCTCTTTCTCGCTTCAGTCTTTACACTCTGTTTCACTCAAATGTTATTTCAGAATCTGATGTAAAAATGTTGAAAGGATGAACTGCAGAGATTAGTTCTATATGACCAGCACTCTGCGGGAAATAAGATGCATCCCTTAAAAAAAAAACCCTCAATGATGAAAGCCTCAGATATCTAGAATGGGGAAAACAAGTCACCCTGTGATGCAACACAAAGGCAATAATGAAGTATTTATCAAAACTGGTGCTTTACCAGCACAGTTGCAGATCATTCTTAATTTTGCGGGGGGAACCCAAACTGTTGATGGATGAGACTCTGGGTTATAATGTTTTTAATTACAAACTTTTTTTATTTTTAAAAGAACAGCCTTTTTATTCCGTCTCAATTTTGTGCAACTTCAAATACTTTATGTCAACGGTAACAGGACGTCTGTCAAATTTATGAAGAACCATAAAAAAGTGTAATTAAAATAAATTATTAATAATAATATAAAAATAATAATAATAATATTATTATTGTTATTTTCTTATTTTTTATTAACCTCTGATATTAGTTCCAAACCTGATAATGTGTCTTTCTGCAGCTTGACTTAAAGCTGTGTGATAACGTTAAATTCCATAAATAGGACGATATCATGTTTCTTCACTGGAAGTATTTGGATCCAATTTGACCACATCTTGTTTACCTTCAGTATCAGGGGTGCAAACAACTCTCTATTCCACATTTAATTTTCCACTCATACACTTCTTTTTTGCCAAGAAGCTCAGTCGTAAAAGAGTCAAGTCTTCAAATACTGAGGGGAGCGTTGTGATTTAAAGATGAAGAAACATGTCAAAAAGTGGGCAAATATTTTTGTTTTTCCTCAAGCGTACATAGAAAGAAATTTGGATATTATTATTATTTTTTAAATATTTAATGTTATATAATGAATAAATAAAAAAAACCTTAATGCTCAATTCATCTACATTTATGGTGGCAATAAATTGTATATTTTTTCTCTGAAGTAGGCCTATAGATAATCAGAATTAAATGATAAAAAATGATCAATTCAAAACAGTAAAGAAAAACACAGCGTTTGTTCCAGTGAGACATTTGTCAGAAGTCTTTGCAGGTCTTTTTAAATTTTTTCTTTACAAGAGCGCCCTCTAGAGGCAGGTTACACTACAGACTGGACTAGTTCAATGCATTATGTTAACAGAGTTATCGATCTCTCAAAAGAAAACTCTTTTTAGGGAACATTTCATCCTAGAAAATTTGCTTAAGCTTTTAAGTTATTTTCTCTGTTTGTTTGAATATATCTTTGACTAAGACCGACCAACAAACATGTTAAACTACAAGATGGCTTATAATGAAAATGCTTGGAGTGAATAGTTCCAAAAAGTGTGCGTTTGTGTCTCTGTGTGTTTGTGTGTTTTACATATATGACCGGCTCAATCGACATCTGCAATTTGTTCCTACAGATAACTTTCAGGATCAGATGAAGAGAGAGCTCTCCTACAGGGAGGAGATGGTTCAGCAGCTTCACATCGTCAGAGGTGAGAACAATAAAGCAGAGGCAGCGGGAGAAGCCGCGCTGCCAAGTGACTCCACTTTCACTGTGGATTTATAGAATCACTGTGGCAGATTACAGATGATTGATGACCAATGGGTTTAAAATGGTCTGTGTGCATAGTATATCACACATCTGTCAGATCATCATTCAGGCTGCTGCTGCTACAAAGCTATACGCATTGTAATAATGCAGTCAGGGAAATTCAACATCTTGCACTCATTGTGGGAAGCACTTCAAATTAGTCCAGTTTCTCTCACCATTTAACCGTGGATAATGTATGTAATACCACACATCAATAATATACAGGCTCAGGTAAAGGCTATGATAACCTAATTTTAATTTAAAAAAATATCAGAATCAGAATCTGATTTATTGGCCAGGTATGCTTACACACACACAAGGAATCTAACTTTGGTGAACTGTGCTCTCATATGTACAGGTACAGCATTAAATATCAACAATAAAGACATTAAGAAAAGACTAATATTTACATGACTAAATATGAAACAGTGCAGTGGTGAACAGTGCAAAAGATGCTGAAGTAATCTTCAACAGTTGAACTCAATTTCAATGTTCAGTATGCCTTTCTGATGCTCCTGGAGTTCTTGGTTATCCGGGGACTGAGAAAGACTCTCTTGTTATGTTAGTCAGCAAAGGTTTAAAACTTATTAACAAAGTAGAAGGAAACTGTTTCGCTTCAGCCACTCCACAAATGGAGGTTGGTGTTCTCAGAAAAGGACGTAAGACCTTTAAAAAAAAAAAAAGAATTCAGTGGATACCTTCTTCAAGACAGGAACCAAAGAAAATACTGGAGCACACCAATCACTTAAGACAAATTTAATAAAGGTGTAAAGGACTTACGTTTCAACGCATTGCTTCTTCCTCAGAGTCAAACAGTACAGGTACAGATTTGAAAAAGTTAAATACACTCCTGCTCACAGCGAATCGTCACTCATAGGTTAATGTGAGTGGAAGGAAAGCAGGGAGTATACCAGAACTATGACAGCATTCATGTATAGACCAATCATATAACATCCCATCCCAAATGTGATAGTATTTACAATATATACACATTATTTACAAGACAATTATTTATCAGTAGAGACAAAGCCGAAGACAATAGAAACAACATTACAGGGAACATGAGAGGGTTACTTCCTCATTTAGTCCATAAGGTTAAACTGTGTTGAGGGTGTAAATCCAAAAGGCCTCTCTTTCCAGCAGTTTGTTAACAATGTCTCCCCCTCTATGGGAGGGAGAGATTCTTTCAGTGCCCCAACATGGGAGTGTTGAAGCAAAACCATGGATAGATAGATAGATGGATAGATAGATAGATAGATACTTTATTGTCTGTCCCAACAGAGACAGAAATTCTCCTTCGACAAGGCTCGAACAATAAACACAACTTACATTAAAAACATTAAGTGTAGTACATTAAAAGAGGACTTAAAAACATCAGTTTCTAAATGGATTGCTTGCTTGTGTGTCTTGCTATTGAATAGTCCATGTTGTGGTTGTGGATAGCATTTAAAACGTAATGTTGGACTGTCAAGTAAGTGATCTGATTCCTGCATTGGCAAAGTCACACCTGTCTCACATCTGGAGACGATACAATATCAATCCAAACCTGAGTCAGCAAATTTTTCAGGACATGAATTTAATTATTTGATTGTATTATTGTGTTATTTTTGAGTATATGGTGAATTAAATTAATTACACTCCCGTGCTCGTACACTATTGATCTCATATCTCCTTCTTCTCAGAAGCTCACGACGCTTTACACCATTTCTCCTGTAAGATGTTGACTCCTCGCCACTGCAGCGGAACCTGCTCTTTCAAATCTCCTCTGCTCCCTCCCTGAACCACACCACATGTAGACTATATGACAGAGAAACAAAAGACAGATCTGCAGCAAACCTCCAGGGACACTGAAGAATCGAAAGAAAACAAAAATTGTAATATCTTGTAATATTTGAAGATATGTATCTCCAACCTTCACGTTTATGTAACCATCTTGCATCCAGTGAAATTTGTTTTACTATAATAATAGCCTACCATTGACGATATTTATTATTTGTGGCAAAGTGCAATGACAATGTATGTATCCTGTGATGTTTAAAACTTTAAAGGTTGTTATTTGGGTTTTTTTGTTATCAAGAATAGCTTCTCTGATTAGGAAATTTGTTGCTCCTATTCCTCACGGTAATGTGTATTAGCCTACTGCATTTGCTGTGGTCGTCTTTGCAGGCCAGCATCGCCAGTATCGCTCACTTTGGACGTTAGGCACTTAACAAGTTATGGGACTTCTCAGAAAAAAAAAAAACGTGTGTAGACCAACATTATAATCATTTGAAGCGGACAAAACCCTGTACCTTTTTATTCCTGAAGACAGATGTTAGTAGGCTAAACTACACCCAAGACTTTGTTACATAGCGACATGTTCTATAAAGAATATTCTATTTGTTCATGTAATAATTGTTTTCATCACTAATAAATAACTCACTTTATTAAAAGAAATGTTGATTTTGTTCGAGAGTTACCTCCGTGCATATTTCTTCATAGTCTGTTAGATATTTAAATTAAGCACATTGACTTTATTGGACTGGAAAATATCAATTCAGAAACATTATGTAAACATGCAAAATAAGCGTATGAATTTTTTGAGATTGATTGATTGATTGATAATAGGCCTATAGACTATGGATTGTTGTTATTTGATAGCAGCATTGCCATTTGTGCTTGATAAATAACTTAGATAATTAATTACTGTCAGAAAAATGGTCCTTAAATTTTCTGATGAACTATTTAACCTTGCAACGCTTGATTAACAATAAAAAAAAGAGTTGCAACACCTACGTTGCAACAGCGCCCTCTGCTGTCTCCTGCGAGGAAGTGACGCGCAGGGTTTGAATTCGCTCTTGTCCCTTGAGGATGACTTCTGCGCATGCGCGTCTAATGTAACAAGATGGCGGAGAGTGCGGAACTGAAGGTAAAGCGAGCCCTCCCTTTGCATTAGCTTAACAAATAGATGGCTTCACACTGAGTGCGATTTGAATTTCAAAGCATCACACCCTGGTCATTTTTGACAGTGGAAGATAAAGGAGTGCCGTTAACGAAGTAGCCTGCGCAACACAAACAACATTAAAGCACACAAGAGAGACGACAGACTGTTAGCTGGCTTGGCTAGCTCGTTAGCATTAGCTTTGTTATTGTTGCCGACGCTCCGTTAGGCTGCCTGTAGCTGAGCGGCTCACCTGCAGATAGGCCTGATATCGATGTTAAGTGCAAATTAAAACCACGTCTGTGTCAACATGTAGGACCCAGAGAGACTTTACTGTCAGCCAGGTGACATTAAAAGTAGTTTGCCGGTCAGTGTTTGGGGTTTTTTAAAGTCGGGCTGTGTCTATACCCTGGATAGAGAGGCGCACTTTAGCCTCCATTAGCTGTTGTTTCTGCTCTGATTTCATAATAGTCCTCGAAATATTGTAACGAACATCTGTCTGAGGAGCTCATTTAAATGTTGGGATGGAGATTTTGCTCAAACCTCCCCCGAGATAAGGTGAACATTGACTCTTAAAGGGGTTTTGTTTAAGCAGCTTTTTGTCTGCTTAACATTTAATCTACGTCGTCTTTCAAAACATCCACTTCTCATGTGTGTCATAAACTGCATCATCTAAATCAGTCAGGACACTATCAAATCAGCTGCTGTGTATCCTCCTTTGTCTAATACGAGCAGTTTGTTTCTCACACTGCTCTGTCAAAGTCATTTCATAAATCAAACAATTGATCTGGATGTTCCACATGTATCTGCTTGTAAAGGCACATTTCAATACTAAAAATATCAACATGTCCCCAGTCCTACTTTGGCTCATCAACTGGGACTCAGGTGACATTGGTTTGGAGTTATAACTCAAGAGATGTTCACAAGAAACTACATTATATTGGGGGCAGGGTTTTGGGGTATATAGAATAGAATAGAATTACTTTATTGATCCCAAACTGGGAAATTGTGGCGTTCCAGCAGCAGGTTGTACAAACACACAATATGAGTAAAAAACACAATGTTAGCAAATCTGAACACAATATAATATTAAATACAACGTAAATAAAAAATAAAAATATCAAAACTAAGAATGTGAATATATACAACTGGATTTAACTAAGCATTACTAGTTTGAAAGAGGAAGATTAAAAGTAAATGTGCAAAAACAGAGTCGTAAATGATTGTAAATTAAATATGAAAGATTGAATGTAAATGGCAGTATTGACACAAGTTAAAGTGCATGAGTGTAGACATATAATAAGCAGAAACTATTCAATATAAAGGCGAGTAGACAGACAAATGAAGTGAACATGAGTGCAGGGATACATTTGTAAAGTAACATGTGCAGAACAGATTACAGTATGCAGAGACAGATATCATCATGATGACAGTTCTCTGCTCGCATGAGGTGAGCTGTTGTACAGAGTTATGGCCTTCGGTAAGAAAGATTTCTTGTATCTGTCCTTGTGACAGCTGAGTTGAATCAGTGTGTTGGAGAAGCTGCTCTTGCTGTTTGTCCAGTAGGGTGTGCAGAGGGTGATCAGGATTATCCATAATGGATAACAGTTTGTTCAGAGTCCTCCTCTCTGTCACCACTACAGAAGAGTGGTGACAGAGAGGGTAGGGGCATAATCAACAATCTTAACATGTGTGGAGTCTAACATTTTCACTTTGATTTTCCCTTTGAAATTGTGTGTCCAGCCCTTCAATATGTATGATGCCTGTGGTGTTTCTTTATCTGACTGCATTACACTGTCAGATTCCTCTTTTTTCCTTTTAAGATATAATAGTCATTGTGTTATTTTTTTATGTTGTAGGATAAAAAGTCAATGTAATAGTGTATTGCATGGAATCCCTGCGTTGAATTGGCTCCTCTAAGATAATGGCTCAATGAGTGTTAGTTGAATTTGATTACTTATGTTTTATTTGTCAACACCCACTATTATCACAAAGCGCAGAAATTGTAGAGTGATTCTGAGAAATGTAGTCTCTGCTTCTAAAGACGATTTCTGCTGAAGTCATTTCACAGCAGCTGTGTTTGTTAAACATACCTTATGTTGAAGCTTTAATGTTGGTTTATTATTGAGATACTGGCTGGACAGTGGCTCAAGAAATTATTTTTTTATTCTGTTTCAAGTTTATCTCAGAAATGAAAGTGTCATGGGTGTGGACAATTTGCAAGCAAGTTAAGTATTTTAATAGCTTGAAGAAAAGACTGTGACATGTTTATCAATAATGTTTGAAACCGGTCTCAAGTCAAAATGAGAGAAGCAAAGATTTTGAAGTATAAGATAATGTTCTCTACACAATGTAACAGACCACTTTTCCAACTCTTTCTTTTCTTCAGCAAATGGTAATGAGCCTTCGAGTTTCAGAGCTCCAAGTGCTGTTGGGGTATGCAGGACGGAATAAGCACGGACGCAAACATGAACTATTGACCAAAGCCCTCCATCTACTGAAGGCTGGATGCAGTCCAGCTGTGCAGATGAAGATCAAAGAACTCTATAGACGACGCTTCCCAACCAAAATGGTTTCGCCAGTGGACATGGCTCTGCCTGGTGTTCATTCTGCCTCCAGCCTTCCCGCTGGCCTTGCTCAGCTGGGATTCGACAGCCACGGTTCCCCTACGCCTCTGCTGCCTGTGTCTTTACTCGGGCCTAAGCATGAGCTGAGCCTGCCTCACCTTCCCTCTGCCCTGCACCCTGTACACCCGATGTCAAGCTTCAGAGATTGCCGTTCTATGATGTGCTGGATGAGCTCATTAAGCCAACCAGTCTTGGTGAGTTCTTCACTTCCTGCTCAGCGTTGTATTTAGTGACACAACGTCCCTCATCATGGTGGAGCAATGTGACCACAGATATCTCGACCATGACGAGTCAAAGCCATGCACTACGGCTAGCATCGATATGAGTTGATGCTAGCGCCTAGTGTTTCCACTCTCTGTGATTTTCTGCTCATGGTTTCTTTTTTGTAGCCTCAGACAACAGTCAGCGGTTCCAGGAAGCATGTTACGCCTTCGCATTAACACCACAGCAAGTTCAACAGATCAGTAGCTCCATGTAAGTCACAAAGCTCTCCAGTGCACACACTCTTCAGCTGTCAAAGAAAACAAGAGGGCCAAATAAACACAACTATAACCAAACTCCTTTCATGATTTAAACTGATTCACACAGAAGAAGAGTAAACTGAGTTGTAATGAAGTTTATTTGTTTGACTGTTTGTACCAGCCTGACGTAACTCTTCCTCTAAATATTTAGGGACATATCTGGGACCAAATGTGACTTTGCTGTTCAAGTCCAGCTAAGGTTTGTATTACGTGCTCTGACTCTTAAAAAACATCTCTTTTAATCGAATGTTGAGGGAAAAGAGGGGGTCTGGTTAGCTTCTGTCTGTTCTGGAGATACTAGGAACAGTCCTGTTGTTTAGATTACTCTTTTAACAGTTTTGATATTGTTCAACCTTAGTGGTCTAGTCTCCATTCATTTACCTCCCTCACGTTGAATCTTATGTAAAAAAAATTTGGTTTGCGTTTTCTATTTTAGTAAATACACTTAAAGTCATAAGGATAATGTAGTTCTTAGTTGGGGGATTCATTATTCACTGTATTGATGATTGGCATTCTTAAACATTGCACAATTAAAGCAATACAACTGAACTTTTTGTCCTTCATAATATGAGCTTACCACTAATGTAATTTATTTGATTATTTTCAGATTCTGTTTATCAGAGACAAGCTGTCCCCAGGAGGATCACTTCCCCCCAAATCTGTGTGTGAAGGTGAACGGCAAACCCTGTAATCTCCCGGTGAGTGCAGACAGTTTGTCGTTCGTTTGTCTCGACTTGTTTTCTGCGTAGGTAATTCTCAGCTTCTGAGGTTTCTGAATTCTCCGTTTTTTTATCAATGATGTTTGATGTATCGTCTGCAGGGATATCTCCCTCCTACCAAAAATGGAGTTGAACCAAAAAGGCCCAGTCGCCCCATCAATATAACCTCTCTAGTCCGACTGTCCACCATACACCCCAACTCGATCGTGGTTTCCTGGACTTCAGAAATTGGGAGGGTAAGAAAACCCAGACAAAGCTTCCAAACTGATGCTGAAAAGAGGACTTGAGTCACCACAGTGAGACACGTTTTGTTCATTATTTTTCTCTTCCTCCCCCAGAGTTTTTCCATGGCTGTTTATTTAGTAAGACAGCAGTCGTCTGCAGTGTTGTTGCAAAGACTACGGGCCAAAGGAATTAGAAACCCCGATCACTCGAGAGCTCTGAGTAAGTTGATACTCGATTTTACAGTATAAGCTTAGAACCTGTGTCGCTGCTACGTTTGTAAGAGAGAAGGAAATAAAGTAGACACATTGTAATGAACTTTGGTTATAAAGTAACT